CCACAGTACATGCATTGCAGCTAGTGTTATAGAGCAAGACACAGGCAGAAGAACCACACACAAATACACACTGTCATCAATACATGTCATATTAGTAATACTGTTAATGTAAATGTGGGTGATATATTTTATTTTTGTAAATTTGTCTGACAGGTACACCTTTCTTGGCGTTGACTGCCTCTGCTGACATAAAATCCAGAAACCGAGTCACTAGACTACTTCATATGGACAGTGCCGTTCACATCATCGCTAGCCCTAAAAAGACCAACATCCGTCTTGGATTGCGCAAGGTGCCCAGCAATGAACTGAACTGCTTAGACTGGATTGTGCAACATGTAAAGGACAAGGGCTCAACCATGCAGCCTGTACTTATTTACTGTCAAAAAATGACAACAGTGGGGAGGGTCTTTTCTTACTTCAAGGGGGAACTGCAACAGTACGCCTGGGTAGACTGTGATCAAGAGCATAAACGTGAGAACCTCCTGATAGGTATGTTTCACAGCAAGTCCCTCCCCCAAAACAAGGACAGAGTGTTGGCTTCACTGAGGGGGCAAGGGAATTGCCGTGTAGTAGTTGCAACAACAGCTTTGGGAATGGGCCTGAATTTCCCTAATGTTTCACATGTGGTGATGTATGGTGTTCCAGGGCACCTAGAGTCCATAATACAACAGGTGGGGAGGGCTGGAAGAAATGGTCAGCCAGCTCATGGCTTCATATACAACACTGGAAAGAATTATAAGACTGAAGAAGAGGTAAAAGAAGTGCTTGCTCTTCGCAATACATGTTTCAGGAAAATTATTTTCTCACATTTTGAGGCTGAACCCAGCCTTGTAGAACCAGGCCATCTACTGTATGTTGCACTTACTGTCATACTGTTTGTTCTTGTTCATCTGGCACATGCAAAGAACCCACCCCAGATTATGAACAGATTCAGGGCAAGCGGGTTAACTAGATCTAGGCACGTGACTGCAGAGGACAAGTCTTTGATTGCATATTTACTGAATGGATACAGAGCCAGCCTAATCACTCCATCTACTCGGCTCTTCACCTCACCTGAATTGTGCACTGGATTCAGTCAACAACTGGTGGACTGTGTATTGAACCATTCTCAGTTTATATTTGACCTGTCATACATCATTGCCAACATTCCTGTCTTCAGATTGGAGCATGCCAAGGAGATTTTAAATATCATAAGTGATGTGTTTGGAGATGTGGATGCAGATCAGCATGCAGAACAGCCGTCCGATTCAGGGGGGGGGGGGGGGTTACACTGCGCCAGATCTTCATTACAGTGGCTATTTTGACACTGCTGAAGATGATGATGATGATGAACTCAGGAGCCATGTTAGTAGCTCAGAGTCAGAGCAGTAATTTCAATGAGAATTTCATTTACTTCTGTGTGCTCACATCATTGGTTACTCATTGTGCATATTTTTGGAAAAGTTTCTCATTTGTACATTTCTACAACCCAAAACTGTCCTTAATAAACCTGATTATTTTCTTCAAAACATGTTTGTAGGATCTTAATTCAAGTATATAACAAGATACATGTATATGGCTTCTGTAGAAAGGTTAACTAGGAAAGACATACAAAATATACTGTAGTGTACTGTAGATTTTTTATTTAACTAATGTGTATGTACAACATCTATATACATGTGACATAGTTAATAGACTGCGATGACTGTAAGGTGTCAGAGACAGTGGAACATATTTTAATCAAATGCGGAAAGTTTAAAAGAGACAGGATTTTACTTAACAGGAAAATAGAGGATTGTGGGGAAAAGTTTACCCTAAAAGACATATTATCAAAAGAATCAGACCATAGAGTGATAACGTATTTGTTTGATTTTTTTAAAACACACTGGACTCGTTAGAAGAATTTAAAATATGCATGCATAAGTTATCTTTTTTGTTTTAGTAACTGTAGCTTGCAAGCTACGAAACTGCTTCGGAAGTTGTAAGCCATAGAGGTGACACATGCACAATCTGTCTGGTGGGTGGCGGTAATGTGCTGCACTAGTTCGCAACCGCCGTTAAGCAAACAAAGGCCCAGTCCCAATACCCACACTGCACCCTACGCCCTCCTATGAAGTGTGCATTTGTTTGAAGTGCGCGCAAGGGTTTGAGTGCGCAGGTTGCAAGAGTGCACAAAAGGTGGAATTGGGACAGTGCACACTGAGTGCAGGTTACGTCATCGACTCGTCAAGAGATGGTCATTTTTAGACCTAAACTTTTTTTAAATTAAAGGTAATTTTGTCTGACCCTTTGGGAAACAAATTGAATTGCTTCACACACGTTAAAATACATGTATATTAGTGGTTTTTAATTAGAAATAGCTGTATAATTTTAAGTTAAATGTGGGTAACTAACTATCTGGTCAGTTTTTATACATTCTAAGATTATTGTACTAAGTGTAAAGTTTAAATTGAATGTTATATGAACTCTTGCTTTAAAAAGTTATTAAATTGTTAAAACACAATGTCCGTAATTCTTCATCAGACGTTTATGCTTCTTTCCAAGTAACATAGCAAAACTTATTTACACACATACTGCACATATATTTCAAAATGTATATTTAAATGCATTTTCCCGACGTTTTGGTGTGTACCGCAAAGAATTATGGGCAATATCCTTCGCCAGAGTGCGCATAGATGCAGGCTACGGCGAAGTGTGGATCAGGGCCGCAAAGGGGGCGGGGCCAAAGACCTCCCTGGAGAATTCGGGCGTTCTGCTCTCCCAAAATTCCATCCGATGGGCGGGGGAGCGACTGAATTTTGCGTTGCATTATGGGTAACACTTGCCTTCGCAACTTCCGGTTCTCTCTGCCCGGCGCATTTTCTCTAAATGGTTGAGTGTTTTCGTCATTTTCTGTTGAATCCGGTTTTATCATGGGCTTCAAGTGTGCCGCCGCTAATTGTCGATCTAACAGCAATAAAAAACTGAGTCGATATCCGTGGATGTCAAGCGTGCGGTGGGTCAAGTGGCCGAAAACACCGCCGTTTTCGTTCACTCTGCTCACTGTCATCTTCTTCTAAATCTTCATAAACACCATCCGCTCATTGAACTAGCAACAACAATTCCTCCTTTCGTTTTCCCACACTGCAAATACCCTTTCGCTTCAACCTTTCATGCAATTCAGGCACTGTCAATCGTTTGTTGTTTTCGTGAGCCATATTCGCCATTGTATGAAATCAACCGGAAGTGAACTGGGCAACAAACGGTGTCATTTTTTGATCACAGCGCCGCTCAGTGGATGAAATTTTGGGAGAGCAGAACGCCCGAATTGGGACACCCTACGCACTCGCACCCTTTATCGGGAACGCGCAAATGAGGGGCGCGAGGGTGGAAGTGCGAGTATAGGGCTGGAAAGTCTCGTCCCAGAAGCACTTCCGGTTCATTGCTCGGATACAAACAAACCGTCAGCTGTTCGAAGAGGCGGTTTAAGTGAATGGTGCATAATGCTCTGCTTTGTTTTCGGCTGTAATCATCACAGTTTACGCGACACATGCTCATTCTTTAGGTTTCCCAAAGACCAACAGAAGCTGTGGGAAAAGCTATGCAGTTGTGATAAAACATTTTGTCTGATTTTACAGATGTTTAACCTGAATATGTATTCAAGCTAACTTGTAGTTAATGCTAACCTGTAGTGCGCTGCCGAGCCTTTCATTGTGGCTTGTATTTTAAGATTAGATCAACTTTAACAGGATACGTATTTATTTGTATTTATTTGAGAGATAAAGGAGGAACATATTAGCACATATTAAATAACATTTAACAAATGTTCAAATATAACAGAAAACGGACAATCATAATATTAGTAGTAAATGAATAGGTAACCCAACTACATCATGTTATTTTTGACAGCACAGCAAAAAGAAAAAAGGCCCAAAGTGAAGCTGCAATGAATGTGAAGTGGAGATGGAGCTAATGTACAGATAGAAAACTGATCATTCATAAACATTGGCTCATAACCAACGCAGCAAAGACAGCTGTAAGGGACATCAATTTATTTGCATGGGAATAGTGTTTCTATATTGTCTTTCTGATGCTTAATAGTGGATTAAAAAACAAGAACTTTGAACACGGCCCTGCACCTTTCTCATCTCCCCGTCATATAAACTTCAGGACATGGTCAGTTCACAGCTAATTCCGACCGCTCACTCAGTTTTTCTGTCCCAGAGACGAAATGTGTCCAAAATAACACAAGAAAGTCCTTTAAGGAGAAAGAAGTCGGCGATCTCAGCACCATACAAGTGGTACGTGTGGTTTGTTTGCATCCACGGGTGGAAATCTCGCAAAATCTCGCACTTCCGCTTTCCAGCCCCATTGGGACGGGGCCAAAGAAGAAGAAAAGAAGCCTCGCTCAGTCTGCGCATGCGCCTCCCTCAGTCTACGCCTAGCGTCTGAGGAGGTGAGTCACGTTTTTACACTCTGCATGATTTCGGTTTGAATGATTAGAAAACTTTGAATATCCAAATTAAAATGTTATTTATGTTGTTACAAATCCAAATGTACAAGTCAGAGCCTTTTGAATCCATGTTTTGAGTCTGTAGTTTATGTAGTCACATGTGAGAGCTAGCTGCTAACAGGGGACTGCGAGCGTGTGATATGGAGAGACCATGAGGATTTGTGTTTTCTTTTCTTTTATACAGAACTGCAGATAAAGTCAACCAGTGATCCTACATGTGTCGTCGTGGTCCTTAAAGTGATTGTCTGGAGTTTGTCAGAAACAGAGACAGAGAGGTACTTGATTTGAAAAAAACGACGCAAGCTCCCTCCCCCTTCCTTTCTGATTGGTCTACACCTACGTTTCCGTAACACTTTGAAATGTTAATCAGAGAACATATTATACATATAACGGGAGTGCACCCTGAGTCGGACACTTTCAGGTGCCTATTATCCTGAGTCGGACACCCCCACCTTTTTGTGGAACTCGTCCTTGCTGCCGCTGTTAGCTTTAGCGCTCGCGGCTAACGTTTGGTGGATACTTTCTACACATGTGTATCTTCCTCCGTGGTAAGTTTTGTCTGTTTATATTAAGATTTTATAGAGTAATCTGCGTTTAAAGGCAGTTTTGATGCTACTACGCGCTCGGACGCTTAGGCGACGGTCTGTTGTTAGCTTTGGTTTGAAAATAGTTCTGGAAAATGTTCAGAACGGCCTCAGTCCGCATTACGTCATGTTAGCTTCAACTACACAGGCCATTCGGATTTAACATACTGTCTGACGCTTTCTAGAGGTAAAGTTATATTTGATGTGAAATGATGGATCTAAATTGATCATTTTCAATATTAATAGAACTTATTTTTCTCAACGTCAAATGATTGATTGTTTGTTTATGAGTGAAAATGCATTGCCCCATTTTCTGTAACAATTATTATTGAGCACGACATGGACAGAAAGGTTGGTAGCACACAGGCTCCAGCTCGTGATGTAAGAAAACATAATATTGACACATGTATCTTGTATTACTTTGTGTGTAAGTTTTAGTGAAGCAATATTACCGATTTTGTATTATGTGGATAAAAAACTCTGCTACTATAATACTTTCACCTCTGTTGAATTAACAATAATAGGACATGAAGATTAAACTGTGTTTTTGTTATTTTTAAGGAACAAAGAAACGAGGTGGACATCAATCACAATTAATGTTTGAGAAAAGGGTAAATACTTTGAAATGACTGCATACAAAGCCCAAGCAACCACCGTCCATGGGACCATAGGTCAGGTATGTTTGATTAGACATATAACTGTACAAGATATTCATTCAAAAGTGTATGAGCCTCTCAATGGTGTTCCGTGCATTAAAAAACAAGATCCTACACTGCCTTACTTGCATTGTCGAATGTATTTACAAATTATACATTTTTAAAGCCAAAGTAGGACAGCATGCAGGCTCCTTTCTTGTTTTTGAATGGAAATACAATAATAGGCTGGTAGGCAATGAGTGTCTATCTCAGAACAGGTACTCCCATATTGCCAGCAGTTTCTGATGAGTTTATAGATTTTTTAAGACCCACAGAATATTGTGTACTATGACTGGAATCCGAAACCAGATTCTGAAAGAATGGACTGTACTTCAGCAGCAAAAAGAATTGTGTTTCTAGCTTGTTTCGTTCTCCTGTAATCCCCAGTCGAGTAGAGGGAAGTTTTACTGAAATCACTAAAAAGCTGAGAAAAACGAGGCACAATAAGTGCATCTAGCCGTTTTTAAACAATCCAGAGCGCTACTGCCACCGGTTGGCTTGATTTAAAAAATGCTCTCAAGCGAATCCCCATACATATTAGATATAATAGACATCTGGGAAGATGAAAATAGAGAAACGCAATTGCCGTATTAGTGCGTCAATGGCAGGCAACGAGTTAACCAACAGCTGTCAGGTGAAATTCTGCCACTGTGTGATCAATAAAGTGCTAACTTCTCTATCTCCTCCTTCAGGACTGGAGTCTCAGACATGGCCTTAGTAAGAACAGGGGCAAAGTCCAGACATGACACATGTGCATGTTCCTGAAGAACCCCAATCATCACAGCTGCAGAAGGTGAGCAAAATTATAAGTGCATCCAGACACAAACTGTAGTTCGTGTCTGGATATAGATGGTTTCAGCGGAGGAGCAAAGACCTGCTGTGTCCATGCCCCTCACAGGGAATTTACACAGTAGGCGTTAATAGCGCGTAAGCGTTGACTGCGCGTAATTTTTTTTTGCAGTATCTACACTGGCCGTGCGTGCAGGTGCGCGGCTTCTGATGCTGTCCTTGTGTAGTCTATGGAGCAGTGTAGAGGAAGGTTAACATGGGAAAAAGTTACGCACGTCTGCTGCGCTGGCAATGTTTTTTAGATGGTAAAAAGCTGCTGATGTTACTGATTTAATGTGGCTATTAATATTTAAGTCTGAGTCCAGTATTACCCCTAGATTTCTGACCGGGTTTGAAGGTTTTAGGGAGAGAGACTGGAGGTGACAGATGACGCTCTCTCTTTGTTTCTGGGGACCAAAGACAATCATTTCAGTTTTGTCCGCGTTCAGCTGAAGGAAGTTGTTTTGCATCCACTCACTGATCTGTTGGATACAGTGAAGGAGTGAGTTCACTGGTCCATGTTCTCCTGCAGTCAGTGAGGCATAGATCTGAGTATTAGTTTACTATTTGTGTGACAACGAATAATGGAAACTAAGGCTGTTATAACAAAAAGAGTTTTACCCATTCTCCATTTGACCCAAGTGATGACTCCTGCTTGGATTGTAGACACATTTTCCTTTCATTCTGCAGTCAATATGGAGTTAGCTGAGACTAAGCCTCTCCTCACATGTTAAAGACTATCGAAGATTCAATAAACCATTTAATGATCATTTTCTTATTACAACTATTTTAAAAATGATTGACCAATTTCAAAAATCAACTATTTTAGTAAACAATCATTTACAACTTCATATCTAGACTCTGGTACTGTCACAAGACTAAATGTTAATTATTTAAATAGTTGAAAACTAGTGCTAAAACAATATACATATTCGAGCCCTATTATTATTATTAATCTGTTTTGTGTAGTTTTTGGGCACTCAACAAGATGCTTCACAGGTCATTCTTTCACTGCATACACAGTGGTCAATTAATGAGAAAAACATACAAAATATAATATGTTCTTCCTTTTTTTCCGTTAGGGTCAGAGCAGATGCCCAGACGTCCCACTCCACACACTTCCTCCAGCTCATCAGGAGGAATCCTGAGGCGTTGCCAGGCCAGCTGAGAGACACAGTCCCTCCAACATGTCCTGGGTCTTTCCTGGTCTCCACCAAGAAGTGAAGTTGGCTGAATGACTAAGTTTACAATCTCACCAGCTGCATTAGTGCAGTCAGCTGATGCTTTAAGTCATTATCTACAAGATGAAACATTGGGACTAGGGCCCTCTGTGGGTCACAGGGACCAGGGCTTATATTGGAGGTTTGAGGGTAATTTTCTTTAGTGCAGTACAAGTACAGAGTACAGAGGGATGAATGCCACCTCACTCCTAACATCACAACCTTTGAACTTCTGAATACCTGTACACTTCACACTGTCTAAAGCAAGAGGGTTCTCACTTTTCATGGTTTATTGTTCTCTAATGTTCTCATGTTCTTGTTTAACAGTATAACCCTTCTCATCCTCAAAACCTGAAGCACTTCTTCTCATCTCCTGCCTGCATCCCTTAAGCATCTCATTGAATTTTCAACTTGGATATTTGGAGTATTTTGGGTGTGAAGATTGAGTTCCTGTCAGTCGGAGGCAGCTCTTCCTTCATTGTACATCAACATTATCTATTGTTAAAACAAAGGCATGGTTAGGGATTTTTGTAAGCTTTGCACACATGCAAACATATGTGACATTAACATAACATTAATAATAACATTCAGAGCATTAAACTTACAGATATAAACAGTTCACATCATGACAAACTGGAGCAGAGCTCGGTGAGGCACCGAGACACTGCAGGGCTTTCAAACAAGGCTCTATGTCTATACATTTTTTATCCACTTTTAAAATTCTGTGCCATTACCTTATGACTTCATGTGTTTAATAAAAGATTATTTATAACAAATAATGTTGACATGTAAATGGCATCTTTTCAAAGCTTGTTCTGGGAAGGTTGTCTTTGGTATTACTGTAAGCTAAAGCTATTTTTGTAACATTTTAATACCATCATTTAATACTTTTTATTTATATTTTTGTTAATTGGCTACTACAGTGAATGCTACCTATATTAAGTTTTCTAGTTGGGGGAAAGAAGAATTTAGAAACTTTAATCCTAAAATTATAAAACAATTCAAGTGTGCTTGTGGCATTTTACGAGTGTAAAAAATATATTTAAAAACGAAATGACCAGGGGAAAATTGTTATTAAAGACAAGATCTTTGTGCTAACCAGTTAGCACTGCCCAAAGTTAATGCAAAACTGTTAAATATAGTCATTTCGGAGCCTATGCGCCAGCGCCGCGGAGCCGTGAGAGAGCGATGGAACCACGGATCTATTCGAGTGGAATCTGTACAAACTCTGGAACTGAGGAGTCCGACTCAGGATAATAGTTCCGGTTAGCCAAAACATCGATGTTTTTTGTCTTTTCAACAGCATATAGAAAACCACATTTAAATAAGGCATTATTCATATATATCGTTCGAAAGCTAACACTTTTAACTTCCGTTTTATGCTAGTAACGTTCGCGAAATAGTTAAGTTTATGTTTTTATAGCCCGTTGAAGTGGGTAACCGGTGCCTTTTTTAAGCCCGAAGTGTCCGACTTAGGAAACAGATACGCTACATTATTAATACACATGCACGGAGGTTATCAGAATTATTTGTGAACGTTTTAATGAAAACATGTTTTTATGCACACAAAAAAGCGATCGCGGCAAACCAGGAAGTGCTATTATCATGAATTGCACATTATAGGACACATCTGCAGAGGATCTGATTATGGATATAGGTTCAGTATATACATAAGTAACTCAGCGCGGATGTTCAGTTTTCATGTAGTTCCAGAGCCTAATAGAGGCTCCGCATGCGAGCATCAGCGCCGATGATTGACAGCCCTTGGCATGACTCGATTGGTTAACCTCGACGGCACCGTGGATTCTGAACTATGGCTAAGAGCAGGGAAGGCGGGACTTGCCCGTAATATTAGAATTAATAAAATGACTTATTTTATATCAACATTTAAGGCCAGGAGGTCAATTTAACACATTTCCTAAAATTTGTAATTAATTTAGAGTTACAGACTTATCACTTTGATCAGCCAGCGTACCCCTATGTCAGACTGTACATTTCCCTATTTCTGTTTCTAAAGTTCATTGTATGACGTCATAGTTTATATCTGTTCATAGCCACACGGACAGACCCAGGACTGAGGCTGAGGCTGCAGACCCAGGACTGAGGCTGTAGCAGTGGCTCCTATACAGGGTGAGGGGTGTAGCCCATGGGTCGGGAGCAACTAGCTTTAACTCACTGACTGCCAGGCATTTTCAGATTTGAGAAGTGCGTTCTGCCAGTGTTTTCAGGTGATTTGACCCAACTTTGAAGTGCCACAGAATATTCATTTTTTAGACTATGTAAACACCAAGGGCACCAAATTAAAGATTAATCTCTCTGCTTTACTCTGAAAAAAGGTTTGTTTCTACCTTTTACCGTTCTGGAGCTATTCTGCATAGAACATAGCATACTTTCACCCATAACACCTGGTCTGAGCAAGAAAACAGAGAAAACGAGCTGTATGTAAAAAGGAACATATCAAGCAGAAAAGTGACTTTTAGATGCATTTTTGCTGCTTTAATGACAACTCAAAACATCTTCACACTTGTTCCATTATAAAAATTATAAAAACATGACTCTGAAATAATACTTTTGATGGCAATTTGTTGGCAATTTATTCAGACCAAAACCATCAACCAAAGCATCCAACAACAACAAAGATCAATAAAACTATAAATAATAAAATAGAATGAAGCGTGTGAATTTGAGTGTGTATGTGTGTCAGTGTGTGTGTGCATGTGAGTTAGTAAGTGTGTGCATGTGAGTTAGTGAGTGTGTGCATGTGAGTTAGTGAGTGTGTGCATGTGAGTTAGTGAGTGTGTGCATGTGAGTTAGTGAGTGTGTGCATGTGAGTTAGTGAGTGTGTGCATGTGAGTTAGTAAGTGTGTGCATGTGAGTTAGTGAGTGTGTGCATGTGAGTGAGTGAGTGTGTGCATGTGAGTGAGTGTGTGCATGTGAGTGAGTGAGTGTGTGCATGTGAGTTAGTAAGTGTGTGCATGTGAGTGAGTAAGTGTGTGCATGTGAGTTAGTAAGTGTGTGCATGTGAGTTAGTAAGTGTGTGCATGTGAGTTAGTGAGTGTGTGCATGTGAGTTAGTAAGTGTGTGCACGTGAGTTAGTGAGTGTGTGCATGTGAGTTAGTGAGTGTGTGCATGTGAGTTAGTGAGTGTGTGCACGTGAGTTAGTGTGTGTGTGCATGTGAGTTAGTGAGTGTGTGCATGTGAGTTAGTGAGTGTGTGCATGTGAGTTAGTGAGTGTGTGCACGTGAGTTAGTGAGTGTGTGCATGTGAGTTAGTGAGTGTGTGCACGTGAGTTAGTGAGTGTGTGCACGTGAGTGAGTGTGTGCACGTGAGTGAGTGAGTGTGTGCATGTGAGTTAGTGAGTGTGTGCATGTGAGTGAGTGTGTGCATGTGAGTTAGTGTGTGCATGTGAGTGAGTGAGTGTGTGCATGTGAGTGAGTGTGTGCATGTGAGTTAGTAAGTGTGTGCATGTGAGTTAGTGAGTGTGTGCATGTGAGTGAGTGAGTGTGTGCATGTGAGTGAGTGAGTGTGTGCATGTGAGTGAGTGAGTGTGTGCATGTGAGTGAGTGAGTGTGTGCATGTGAGTGAGTGAGTGTGTGCATGTGAGTGAGTGTGTGCATGTGAGTGAGTGAGTGTGTGCACTTTCAGTTGCTTTTTCACTCCTCCCAATAGTTCAGCTTCGTGTGGTAGAGGTTGAAACACTCTCCTGTGTGCAGTGGAACATGGCACGCCGCGCACCACTTGTTGGTCTCCCTGCGAAGACCCCTCCGTGTACAGACCCCACATTTTCTGTTCGGTCTCTCCTTCCTGCTAGTGGCCATCAGGTGCTCCATTTTGTGCCTCCTTAGTTGCCCATCCAGCCGGCTCTCTGGGTCAACCAAGTAAGGAGGACAGCCCCCACAACAGCAGCACTCTCCTCATCTCTTCCTCCCTCCTCCTGCCTCCTTGACGTCCAGGATCTTGCCACACTCTTCAAGAACTGCAGGAGGTGTTTGCACTCTCCTTGATGGTGTCTGGCTCGATAGAGGACAAAAGCATTAAAAATTGCCAGCTGGAATAGATAGGCCATTCGTGGACCGTCTGATGAATGGGTAGTAGGCCACGTTTTGGTCCGACTTATCCACTCTGTTCATGCACTTGTTGTACTCCACAACACACGCTGGCTTCCACTGAGGCACTTTCTGCTTCTCCCCCTTCTGCCACACTTCCACCTTCTCCATAGTGTTATGGTGACAGGTCGTCACCATTTTCACAAGCCTCTTATCCTGCCACGCCACCACCATCACCTTCCCGTTGTGTCTCACAATCCTGTCTCCAACTTGAGTTTTTGTGACCTCTTTTATCATTTTTGGTTCACCTCTATTTTTCCTCAGTGTTCCACACACATTTGTTTTCTTCCCCAGTAAATGTTCACTGAGGGAAACTGAGTTATAAAAGTTGTCCATAAAAAGTGTGTGTCCTCGGCCTTGGAGACAACCCAGGAGAGAGAAGACCGTGTCCTCCAGTGTGGCGCTTGTCCCAACATAAGGGAGCGTGTTGTGGCAGTAGCCTGTGGCCGAGTCACACAGAATGTAGGACTTTATCCCGTATTTCTTTGGCTTTTGAGGGTTGTAGACCCTAAAAGCCAGACGCCCCCGCCACAGCATCATTCCCTCATCTATACAAATGTTTTTCCCTGGATTGTACAGATGTTTGAATTTGGTGACCAGGTAATCCAAAACAGGGCGGACTTTGAACATTTTGTCACCTACATCATGTGACCTATTATTGTTGTAATGGAGGAACCTCCAGATGAGCTGGTACTTGTTCCTCGACATTACTTTGGCAAAATATGGAGTAGCTTCAAGCTCATCCACAGACCAGTAGGACTCAATACTTGGCTTTTTCATGAACCCAGTGATGAAACTGAGCCCCAAGAACCGTTTGAGTTCAGGGACCGAGAGCTCTTTCCACCTGTTACTCCTGCTGTGGGGCAAAGGCTCAGTGTTTGTCGCCAAATACTGGCTGGCATAGAGGTTCGTCTGGTCCACGATCTGTTGGAGCAGTTCCTCCGTCAGGAAGAGCTCCAGAAAGTCAGCTGGATCAGATGAATCCAGCTCCGCAGCAGGTCCCTGAGGTCCAGGTGCTCCAGTGAAGGGCAACTGGCTCGGCTCCCACTCATTCTCCTGCCAGCCATCTTCCCCAGAGCCTCTGCGTGATGCACGGGCTGCAAAGTGGATAAATACAATTACTATATTATACAGTGAATTTGTTACAATAATAAATACATAAAATACAATGAAGGCCACACTCCCACATTATTGACTGACTGCTTTTGGACCAAAACAATAGTTGTATGCAAAAATGAAAGCATGAATGAATGAATGTTGTAAATGAATAATAGTGTAAATGAATAATGTACAAAAACAATATACATTAAAAAAAACATACTAATAATATAGTATACTATATTATATTGCCATATGATGTGCAAAAGAAGAAATTCGTTTCTTTATCTTTCTTTGCACAGGAACCGCCTCTTGCTGCACCACCTGTAAATAATAGGAATATGTATTATTCATTCATTCATTCATATATATAAAAAAATCTATA